CTTACTTCTATAAATATGGTGGCCCTGACATTCCTCTACTGCTGCTTAAAATATTCACAATGTCCCTAGAAACCCAAACTTACCCTGACATATGGAAGACAACATTCATTATGCCTAAACACAAATCTGGCTCGAAAACTGAAGTCAGTAACTACCGGCCAATCAATATCACACCTATAGCATCTAGAATCATGGAGAGACTAGTCAAAGATAACTTAATCAAACATATGCTTAGCTGCAATATTATAAGTCCGAACCAACATGGATTCCTGAAATCCAGATCATGTTTAACATGTCACCTAGACTTCTTCAATTTTGTAACCAGCAGTCGTGACAGACGGCAACTAGTACTTGTCATCTACTTTGACATTTCTAAGGCATTTGACCGTGTTGACCATTTACTGCTAACAAATAAACTGAACTCCTTAGGAATACGTGACCCATTATTAGGATGGCTTAAATCATTCCTTAACAATAGGTCCCAAATAGTTAAACTCGGGTCTGCAACCTCCAAACCTAGCCCTATCACTTCTGGTGTAGTACAAGGTAGTGTCATTGGACCCCTCCTATTTACACTATACATCAATGACATATGCGCTTGCTTCACGCACGGGAAACCATTCATCTTTGCAGATGACCTAAAAGTAGCTTATACATTCCAATGTGATGACTTAGGGAACTTCGAGAATGTAGTGCAGAAGGAATTAGATAAAATGACTGCTTGGTCGTCCCTATGGAATCTCCAATTTAATCTGAACAAATGTGGCTGGATCTGCTTCGGCGCACCCTCAATTGACCTGAAATTAACGCTTCAATCTGCTAACCTAACAAGACTCCGAAGTGTCGTTGACCTAGGCCTGAGGTACTCTAGTGACTTGACATTCTCTGAGCAAGTAGCATCACAGACTAGAAAATCGAGGATGCTCTTAGGATGCATACTCAGGAACTTTCACGACAATGAAGCCAAGCTAATTCTGTACAAAACATGTGTCAGACCACTACTAGAATACTGTCCATTTATTATAAGCAGCACTCGCACACGTGACAAGCTAAGGATGGAAAGTATCCAACGATATTTTACCTCAAAACTACTTGGCTACGATTGTAAGAAAGACTACATCTCACGGTGCATGATCCTAAAACTTGACCCACTTTGGACAAGGCGACTTATTATAAACCTAATATTCTTCTTTAAGGTCCTTCACAAAATATCATTCTCAGGTAACAGGGACATACAATTCGCACAGGAAGGTTCTTACGATCTGCGTAACCAAACTTGCACAGTGACAACTCATTCTTTTAAGTCAACACTCCGTGAAAACTTCTTCACAGTCATGTATTCTAAAATATGGAATAGCCTACCCCTAGATGTCAGAACTTGCTCTTCGGTTACAAGCTTCAAACGCTCTCTATACAGACTGTTTCACTCTACTGATTATATTAATAAACTATTTACTCCTAGAACGAATCAACTACTAATCTACTACAGCACCTAAAAGACGCACTTCAACACCCTTAGCAATCTTAAAACTATAAATAAACTAGCAGCATGGATGCATAAAGACTTAGTACGGAACATACAGGATTAGTTTACCCTTAGAAATAGGACCTGTCACTCTATTGTAACCTTCAAACGCTTGCTATATAAACTTTTATCTCAATGACTATCCCTACCAGAACCCATCACTTATTTCTAAAACGCATCAGTCATTAGAACACTAAAACGCTCAGACTCATTAATACACATTATGACACTAAATAAGACTTCGCATAAATACGTGAAAACACAACTACAATATAGGTAAATGTTTACTAAAGTATAATATACAATTGACATAAACATTTATATATGCATGAAATATTAAATGTCCTTTTCATGTTCACATACTTTTCTTTCTGGTATTCTGCTGCTCCTATTCATCTTCTGGTCGAGGTCGAACAACCCTGCATCTAAACTGAAATGAAGATGAATTCCAAACCATTTAACTCATAACCACTCAAATTCCATGAACGATCCAATTCTACCATTTGAAGACGCTGGCGAACATGCTGTAAATGAGTATTCATGATCTGAAATGAAGAAGCAACTGGTTTTCAAACAGTTTTCAACATTTTACTCAACTTACGAATACAGTCCGCCATGCAGACACAAATGGAGCAAATGGAGAATTCTGGAATCGACCTCGGCACCATTTGATGCAGTAAAACAACTTAACATGACCTTATCTAGTTTTCGTATCCACGATCAAATTTCTTTCCTGTTATAAAACTACGACAAGACTACTGAAAAAATGGAATAAATATATCACTGATCTCAACATAATACATCAATAAACTTTAAGCCAAGGGTGCTGTTCACAACAAAGTTATATAGGAGAATTGACTTCAAGCTTTATTTTTCCCAGATATCTGTATTACATTCATCTGATGTCTGGGTGTTTTGTTAATGCGAAGACAATATTTCTATATCTCTTTATGTGCTACACAAAGGGACTTTATAGCAGACTGTTCCGACTGACTTTAATGTCAGAAAGAACAACCAAACTGTAAATTCATCGTACATTAAATTATGTGTAATTTATATAATAATTTATCCATGCCTGTACAATTGGTATGTTCCTGCATAAACAGGAAGAAATATATATAAACGCTGACTGCGCCGCCTCCCTTACGGCTTAGTCAATCCACCCAATGGACTCTGAAATTAGGCAGGTTATTTTCGCTATTGGGGGCATCGGATGTGAGTCATGCCTCTATGATGATAATTACATCCAGATTTCCAGAGTGGGTCATTTTACCCACCTCAGTTTATTTGTTCAACAGGCTGCAAGCCTCTATGTAGCGAACTGTTGACTAAGTTTGGTGCTTCCACAGCCTACTCACAGAGGTTTCGGGATCATGAAACCTCGAACTCTGACACCTGGAAAACACAAAATCCCTAGGATTTTCTTGCCGCTTCGCCGCCGCTCGCTTAATTATAGGGGAGCAGTCTCTTGACGTTTTCCGCTAGGCATAAGTTGACACGGACCTATATATCTAGTCCTATAAGAGTTGGAGAGATGTTTAGCAACGACTTCCCCCTCCGTTCTAGAATTTAGTAGGACTGAAGTAACTTACTGTCTGATTTACTGTAGAGTAAGCCTTTTGACCGATGCTGTACAGGCTATGTATAATCATACCTGTTACTGTTGTTGACAGTAACTTATCTAGGAGAGGCTTGTCTAGGTTAAGTTCATATTTACACCTATCCTTAGGACCCGACATCAGTGATTCTTACATTTTCTGGAAAATGGGCAGGCTATTAGTGAAATCATATCGCCTATTTTGTGGGAGACCACATTACGCCATTCATAGGCTCACCCTTCACCATCTGTCTTTGGTTGTGTATGCCTATTATCCACCTACGTGGATGGCGTTTTATCTAAAAGTTTGTGGTCAACTTTAAATTCCGCGTTTTTACCACCGGTACGCCTTTCCCTCATGCAGGCAATAGGTGACCGGATGTTGGTGTTTCCCGTCGCTTATTCACTGCCGGCACTGAAGGCCCTATCAGCTATCGTAAGGAAAGCGTGAGTGTCCGAAATATGGTGGATGATCTTCTGTGCTGAAGGGCTGTCACCTCCTGGGAGTAAAGAATGGGGAATGCATATTGTCTTGTCAATAACGCTAGCCACGTCACTGGTGTCTGAGTTGCATTCACTCTCCTGGTTTGGTGGACGACCTTTGCATTTCAGGAGCTTTAATATGCAGATGAGTACGGGAATGTCTTGCTGAATAGAGGACCCAGCTATACGTCAGCAGTCATTGCACAACCAGTCTCTCAGAGGCTTGCAGCAGCACTTGGATGTTGCAGAGGTTAGGTTAGTAAGCATACTGTGGAACCAGAACCTGCGCCTATCACACCGCATGCGCTCTTCTAATGGAAGTGACACTTAATTCGGCCCCAACGCTTTCTTTTCTATATGATTGTGGATCGTATAACACAACAAAAGGCTAAATTGCACGAGAGCGCAAAACGATGAGGATAAACGATATTGCGTTTCAAATTTACCTCGCTTCCAGTTTCTCGTCTTTAATTGGCTACAACAGTGGTGGCAGATGTATATCCCATTTGTGTTGTAGGACGATGACTGATACAGTGGTGACAGTTCCTGCCTACTTCAACCACAGTCAACGTCAAGCTACTAAGGATGCGGGTGCGATCGCCTACTGCTGCTGCTACCGCGTATGGTCTAGACAAGAAGGATGGTGGTGAGCGTAATGTGTTGATATTCGATTTGGATGGTGGTACTTTTGGTGTGTCGACCTTGACAATTGAGAAGGTATATTCGAAGTGAATTCTGTTGCTGGTGACACTCATTTGGGAGGTAGGGACTTGGACAACCATTTGGTGAATCACTTTGTGCAAGAGTTCAAGCGTAAGCACAAGAAGTATATAAGTGACACCAAGCGTGCAGTTCGTCGTTTGACAACAGCTTGTGAACTTGGTAAGCGTCCGCTGAGCTCAAGTACACAGGCGAAATCGGAGAGTGATTCGTTGTGTGATGGTAGTGATCTCTACACAGTGATCATTCATGCTGTATTTGAGGAGTTGAATGCTGATTTGTTCCATGGTACTTTGGGACAGTTGAGTAGGCCTTGAGAGACTCTAAGTTGGACAAGACTCAGATCTATGAGATTATGTTGACCAGTGGTTCAACACGTATTCTCAAGATCCACAAGATGCTTCAGGACTTTTCCAACTGAATGTGGTAGAACAAGTCTATTAATTCTGATGAGGCTGTTGCTTGTGGTGTAGCTGTGCAGGCGCCTGTTCTGAGTAATGATAAGTCTGGGGCAGTGCAATACATGTCGTTGCTGGATGTGGCGCCATTGTCACTGGGTCTTGAGACGGCCGTTGGTGCTATGACAGCACTGATTAAGCGTAACACGACGATCCCAACAAGCAGACTCAGACGTTCACGACGTGCTCGGACAACCAGCCAGGTGTGCTTATTCAAATGAACGAGGGAGAACGTGGTTTGACGAAAGACAACAATTCGATTGGTAAATTCGAGTTGTCTGGTGTTCCATCTGCTCCTCTTGGTGTTCCTGAGATTGAGGTGACATTCTACATCGATGCTAATGGTATTCTGAATGTGTCAGCTACGGACAAGAGTATTGCTGAGCGGAAAAAGATAACCATCACGAATGATAGCGGTCGCCTGTCTAAGGACGATATTGAGGGCTTGGTGTATGAACCTGAGAAGTTCAAGGCTGAGGATAAGAAGTAGAGATAATATTTGATTGTGTGTGGCTGTGTTACGCATGGTTCTCAAGCAACTGTGATGAATTCAAGTGCAAAATTTCTGTCAATGGAGTTGAAGATTGAACGATCAATTCTTGGTTGTTTGCTCAAAATCAACTTCCCCAATTTTCGCGGAGGCATCAATACGACAGTCATCGTCTCATCGGTCGCTGTTCAGAAATAAGTCAGTAGCAAACCATCAGAAGTAATCTTATGATTTATTATTGTAATATTTGTTCACAGATCTTAGTTCAATTATTATTTTTATATGTTGGTGTAACAATAAAGAAATCTCAAGCGGCCAATCGGTGTTTTGGTTTTTTCGTCCGTTATAACTAAGCGTTTCTGAAAACTTCAAGAAACAGCGTGGGCCCGAGCGTAGCGAGAGCTGGGCATTAACGGTTTATGAGACGTGGCTGACAGTTTCTGATGGTAGAAACAGACTTTGGCGGATTCAGACAGTTGGTGAAAGTTTGGATAGCCACCGTTCATCGTTCCTGGTGCCGGTCAAGTCCTCTTTGAACAAGCAATATCTGGAACGCTTTTGGAATTGGGTCAAGTTCAACAATGCCTGGGTCAAAGAAGGGACAGAGTGTCTTGGATGCAAACAGGAAAGTAAGTCATGGTGACTTGTCTATTAATTGTAACGATGTGTCTGATGTTAAGCATGACATGGTTGATGTTATTGTTTCGCCGTTCAGGGATAATAGGAACATCAAACTCCCTAAGTTTGAACCACGATGTTTTGATGGAAACCCGGCCGATTATTTACAATTCGTAAAGGAGTTTGAGATCATGTTGAGTGGTTTTTTATTAAATGATGAATTTAAGTTAATGTATTTGATGAGATATTGCACTGGAGATGCTTCAAGAGCTATATAGTGCTGTAAGCTCATGCCCCCTATCGAGGGATACGCTGAGGCTATGAGCATATTACGTCAAAGGTTTGGAAGACTTTCGATGATTGTAAAGAATGTATACGGAGCTATCAAAGGTAACGGCAGTCAACTTCAAGATGACTCCAAGGCGCTTACTGAGTTTATAGATAATCTTATGACTTATAAGAATACCTTGATTTCGATGAATTGCATGGTGACCTCAACTCGAGTTTTATACTAGAAGTAATAGCAAGACGCCTACCTACTCGACTGCAAAGGAAGTGGGTGAAGATGAGCTCCCGTATGGAGGATGAGGGTATCGAGCCAAAATTTGATGATATCCTGAAACTGTAAAACAATAGTGTCAATCTATCTATGAGCAAGTTTGCCAGTATATTGAATCTCACCCCTAGAATAGAGCAGTCTGAGGGTAAAACGCACTCATTGATGACGAATAGGCCTCAGAGAGGTGGATATCGAGAAGGCTCCATGATGTCTAGTAATGCATATAGATTTAGTGAGTGTAACAGGTTTCGTAGTACATCCTCAACAGATAAGTTACAAGATGCAAGACAAACACGGTTTTGTTTTACACGTTTGTAAGAAGTGCATAAAAAGGTGAACTGTGAAGCAGTGAGCAAGTTCAGTGATAAACTTAATGTAAACTCCAGGCCTGACTCCGAATTGTGTGACGATAACGGTTTGGTCAGGAAGTCTGTAGTTGCAACTGGTAAGCAATTGTTGAATAGAGTGTCACAGAATAGAGTTACTGCTTCAGAGTGCAGTTCTGACTCCAAAAGTTTACAAAGTGTATCTAGTTAGAGTGAAGATATAAAACCATCAGTGATATGTGAGGAGGAACCAAAATTGTCTACTTCTGTTATTAAAGAGTTTGAAAATGGTAAAGTTGACGGTAAAGTGAATATTCGTGATAATGATCATGATAGTGCAGAATTGTCTTTGGTTGATCATGATGAAATAGGGGGAATGCCTACTACCGCTAATTTAAATAAAGGTTCTGTACAACTTGAACGTGAATTAGAATTGAATGCAGTTGCAGAAGGCATGCATACTTGTCAAACAGTCAGTGTAATTGATCAGAGTGATGCCCACCTATCATCAGATGCCAGTGCTAAACCTGAGCTGATAGTAAAAGACGGCAGTGGTGGTGGTCTTGCAGGTAGACAAATTTCTGAAAGTCGAGCAACAACAGCTTTTGATCCACCGCTAACTTCATCAACTGATATCAATCAGTCGTCGTTGGTGCTGTCATCCACAATGAAAAAGACGCCTATCAACTCAAGTATCTTGCGCAATGACTATGCTAGTATCAGATCGTTTGAAAGGACGAATATCAATGGTCAGTTTAGTGAGGATAAGCCAAGTGTAAACGAGGGAGTAATTGTTAAATTTACGTGCACGAATAAAGGCATTTCTAGTTTCAAGTTACTGTTTGAATGCTATTATCCTTGGTGTAAATTACTCTGTTTCTACACTTGGTTGATGAGATATGTCGTGTGTTTGTTGGTCATCTATATTCTACGATACAATGACATGGGCGTGTTATCGTTCAGATTTGAGGATATAGCTCATAGAAGGAAGTTAGCAAATGAACTCTGCGACGATTTTCCAACCTAGGGCGTCAACCTGAGAAGGAATGTGGGCGTACTGCTGTAAGTCCTACAGTTTTTCAAGGGTAGTTTGTCATGCCAGAATCCACAACATTTGATGTAGTGATTGTACATATGTTTGTGTTAAATAGTTGTGTGATTTCCAATTGATGTAATTGTAGGTTATTCTGTTTGTGTCCGGACATTCCACAACTTACAATGGTCAACCTGTGAAGGGTTGTAGGCGTACTGGTGTTAGCCCTGCGATTCTTCAAAGACATCAAGACATGAACTGCGAGTTTGTGTGTACTGTTTGTATATATGTGTGGTGTGTCATATCAATTGGTGTTTGTTGGATTCATTGTGTTTACTTGTTGTTTTCGTATCTTGTTGTTGTTGCGTAATTTTGTTAAAATTTTCGTCGTGATTACTTCTGAAGTTGTTTCGAGTCTTCTACATCCATGAATGAATTGATTGATGTTAAGGACAGCAGATGGGTCGTATACGCCGGGGAGGCTAGGCTATTGCTGAGAATGAAATGCACACGGAGATAATTGTTAGCTGCGGTCCGACACGCCGGGGAGAAAGAGTGTAAACGACTGAGGCTCGCATGCGTCACCGCTACTAGAAGTGAGGCAGAATGAGTGACAAGCGATTGCAGTGGTAATTGGTAGTGAGTAGATAAGAGGATGTGCGTAGAGTATCGTGAGGTGCTGCCAAGGTCACTTTGCATTCTGCAAGAGTCATTCTAGCAAGTGGCGATTGTGTTGCAAGATGTCAATAGGAGGTCTCTGTCTGGAGGCGCAGGTTGTCAGCGATATGTGAGATTGTGCTGTGGGTATGCTTGTGGTGTGTTGGCTTTTCTGTTTGTTTTCCATTTCAGCTCTGTCCGTGTGACCCAGGTTCTCGCAATGGCATCCAAGTCAACGTGTATTGGTCGTGAAGGAAAAAAGGGTTGGATCCCATTTTTGCCGGGGAGTGTCAATGGAGTTGAAGATTGAACGATCAATTCATGGTTGTTTGCTCAAAATCAACTTCCCCAATTTTCGCGGAGGCATCAATACGACAGTCATCGTCTCATCGGTCGCTGTTCAGAAAGAAGTCAGTAGCAAACCATCAGAAGTAATCTTATGATTTATTATTGTAATATTTGTTCACAGACCTTAGTTCAATTATTATTTTTATATGTTGGTGTAACAATAAAGAAATCTCAAGCGGCCAATCGGTGTTTTGGTTTTCGCGTCTGCTACTATTAAGCGTTTCTGAAAAACTGCGAGGAACAGCGTGGGCCCGAGCGTAGCAAGAGCTGGGCATTAACGGTTTATGAGACGTGGCTGACAGTTTCTGATGGTAGAAACAGACTTTGGCGGATTCAGACAGTTGGTGAAAGTTTGGATAGCCACCGTTCATCGTTCCTGGTGCCGGTCAAGTCCTCTTTGAACAAGCAATATCTGGAACGCTTTTGGAATTGGGTCAAGTTCAACAATGCCTGGGTCAAAGAAGGGACAGAGTGTCTTGGATGCAAACAGGAAAGTAAGTCATGGTGACTTGTCTGTTAATTGTAACGATGTGTCTGATGTTAAGCATGACATGGTTGATGTTATTGTTTCGCCGTTCAGGGATAATAGGAACATCAAACTCCCTAAGTTTGAACCACGATGTTTTGATGGAAACCCAGCTGATTATTTACAATTTGTAAAGGAGTTTGAGATCATGTTGAGTAGTTTTCTATCAAGTGATGAATTGAAGTTAATGTATTTGATGAGATATTGCACTGGAGATGCTTCAAGAGCTATACAGTGCTGTAAGTTTATGAAGCCAAAAGAGGGCTACGATGAGGCTATGAGCATATTACGTCAAAGGTTTGGAAGACCTTCGATGATTGCAGGGAAATTATTCGAGGCTGTTAAGGGTAATGGTGGTCAATTACAGGATGACTCCCAGGCACTCACTGAGTTTTTAGATAATTTGCTAATTTACAAGAATGGAATGATTTCGATGAATCGCATGAGTGACCTCAACTCGAGTTTTATACTAGAAGTAATAGCAAGACGTCTACCTACTCGACTGCAAAGGAAGTGGGTGAAGATGAGCTCCCGTATGGAGGATGAGGGTATCGAGCCAAAATTTGATGATATCCTGAAACTGTAAAACAATAGTGTCAATCAATCTATGAGCAAGTTTGCCAGTATAATGAATCTCACCCCTAGAATAGAGCAGTCTGAGGGTAAAACGCACTCATTGATGACGAATAGGCCTCAGAGAGGTGGATATCGAGAAGGCTCCATGATGTCTAGTAATGCATATAGATTTAGTGAGTGTAACAGGTTTCGTAGTACATCCTCAACAGATAAGTTACAAGATGCAAGACAAACACGGTTTTGTTTTACACGTTTGCAAGAAGTGCATACAAAGGTGAACTGTGAAGCAGTGAGCAAGTTCAGTGATAAGCTTAATGTAAACTCCAGGCCTGACTCCGAATTGTGTGACGATAACGG